TCACTTAATTATGTTATATACTGGGGATTAAACCCAGGAGTGATTTGCCACTGAGCTGTAACCCAGACCTTTTTATTTTTTTGAGACTGGGTCTTGCTAAGTTGGTGAGTCTGGCCTTGAACTTGTGATCCTTGTGAACTTTGTGATCCTCCCAAGCCACTGGGATTACAGGAGCGTACCACAGCACCCAGCTACCTCATTTTTTTAAAATACAGATTGTTGGGCCATATCCTTGAATTCTGATTCAGTTTATTTTAGGCAGCACACAAGAATTTGCATTTTTAACAAGTTCTTAGATGATGTAATTATGCTGCTGGTTTGAGACCACACACTCTATAAACCACTTTTGCAGTCCACAGATCTTGTTAACTCAAATGTAACAGCTTACAGATTTGACTCATTCACTGAAACCAAGAAATGAGTAGATCAGTCCTTGAATGTCTTCCTTCTGCGCACAGAAGAAACAAAATTCTTTCTTTATAGAATTATCATCTAGCCCCATCCATCTTTGCATTTCTACCACATGCACATTTCAGCATTACTGAACTTTTAGCAATTTAAAGAATGTACAGTGGTTTCTCATCACTGATTTCTGATATGCTATTCATTCTTCCAGGATTCCTGCCCCTCATTTAGCTGTCTGGAGATACCTTCATTTACTTTTTTTTTTGTTGTTGTTCTGTGCTCCTGTGCTCTTAAAACTGTGTACTTATGCTTCAACTAGATAGAGATCATACTATATTTTAACTGTTGATTTCTGTTAGGTTGTTAGTGCCTTGAGAACAGGGAGTTGGGGTGTGTGTTTGTGTGTATGTGTGTGTGTGTGTTGAGAATCTAACATAGGATCTGTGTGCTAGGTAGGTGCCTTGCCTCTAATGTACCCTGACAGCCTTGGGAACTTGTTTTTTTTAATATCTTGGTTAATACTGGCTTAATATGGCCTTTGACATGTAATATGAAGTAAAATAATGTTTGACAAAATCAACAGAAGAAATTTGGAGATTTGGAGGCCCAAAAGTGATGACTGYTTATGTAGTTTTGTTAGTTTTAATTTCAATGAGCAGTTTTGCATAAGCAGCAACGTATACTCCCTTAATACATGTGATGCTAGCTGGATTCCTTAGGACCTAGTATTATCCAAGTGAGAGTCTGGGATTTTAGCTGTCTTAGACCTTTTTTTTTTTTTTGTGGTATTGGGGATTGAACCCMGGGGTTTTCTTCCACTGAGCCACACCCACCATCCTCTTTTATTTTATTTTGAGACAGGGTTGCCAAGACTAGCTTCAAACTTGTGATCCTCTTCCCCAGTCACTGGTGCTCTACTGTGCTTAGCTTTAAATTCTGTTACTCAGCAACAGCTGATCTATTTAATATAGTTTCTCATTACACTAACAATCACACAGTTTCAAAATGAGCATTTTTGTCACTTCCATTTCTCATTACCATCTTTCAGAATCTTGCTTGTCTTTCAAGGGCCAAGTGAAATGCTACCCCTGCAATAGACACCTCTTGATTATCCCAAAGAAAGCTTGTTCTTTTCTGAAAGCATGGTACTACTTACTGTCTGGCATGTGCTGTTTTATTTGTAATTGTTTGCGTTAATATTTTATCTTCCTTTTTATATTGCTAACTACTTTGAGGACAGTGAAAGTTTGAGCCTCAACTTGGGAAGGRATTTTAAAACTATGCTAYGTGGTTACACCTTTTCCAGTAAGTAGATTAAAATCACTGGAGTTGATGTTCAAAAAAGAAAAGAAAAAACAAGGGGTGTGTGTTAGTTTTTTGTTGCTGTGATCAAAATACCTATCAAGGAAACTTTAGAGGAGGAAAAGTTTATTTTGGCTCACAGTTTCAGAGGTTCAGTCCATGGTGGGCCAAATCCATTGCTCTGGGCCCAAGGTGAGGCCAAACATAACAAAAGAGCATGGTGGAAGAGTATTGCTCTATTCATGGCAGCCTAGAAGCAGAAAGAATGCAAGGGAAGAGCTGAAGGAACAAGATACGATCCCTAAGGGCATCCCCTCTTCTACCCACCTCCTTCAGTCATACCCCACTAGCCCAGAGTTACCACCCAGCCCAGTAGTGGGACTTGAACCCAGTGGGGATTGAACCCACTTGAATACCTTCATGAAGCTGCTCCACCATATGGAAATGCTCCTCTTCAGTATTTTCTCTCTTAAATCTGTTCCTTTTCCCATTTGTTATTCTAGTCAACAATWACGTCATCCACCACAGAGACCTTAAAGGTTTTGTGGTTATCTCCTCCAAACTATGGTTACCTCTTTGTTATGTAGCAGCTATTGGCTTGCTACAATTGATTCGTTACAACTCCCATAATCTAATCATTTCACCTCTGAACAGTCCTGCATTAACACAGGAGCTTTGGGGATCCCTCATATCCAAACCATAGCAGTTTCTGATTATATCTATATTTAAAAAATATAATCAGTAGTCATGCAGAGAGGCTGGATGGATAGAGAACAATAATAATGACAACAACATACTACTATGTATTAAAGATAAAATATCTCACTAATGAAATATTTTATCTTTAATACATATATTTTTATGTATTAAAATACATAGTATGTATTAAAGATAAAATATTTCATTAGTGAGAAAGGAGCTCAAGGGGAGGGAACAGATGTCTTACAAGTTTCATTCTCCTCCTTGGTGACAGATTAAATGGGTGTGATAGAGAATCCACAGTGATGTTGACATCTTTAATTAGAATGCTTTTGGTTACAAAAAAAGAAAACCCATCTTAAACTAGTTTAAGAAACAAAGGAGGGGCTGGGGTTATAGCTCAGCAGTAGAGTGCTCGCCTCGCACATGCAAGGCCCTGGGTTCGAGTCTCAGCACCACATAAAAATAAATAAATAAATAAATAAAAATTAAAGATATTGTGTCCGACAACATTACAAAAAATAAATATTTAAAAAAAGAAAGGAGATTTATTGACCTACAAAATGGGAAAGTTGGGGGTCAGTGTATTTATACTATTCTTTCAGTACTACTATCTTCTTTATAGCAAAATAGCTACAGCTTCATGATCTACACAACAAACTGTATTTTTCCAGAAGAAGACATTGTACTGGGGCCCAGAGTTCCAGTCCAAATCTTGAGTTTCATGTTGGTTGGTTTAATTTACCTGGCTGTTAATTCTTWTAAAAATTATTTGAGGCAAATGGAGCTGAAATTGGGGTCAAGTACTGTCAAACCAATAGCTGCTACATATAATTTGGATGAGATAACCACAAAATCCTTTAAGGTCTCTGTAGTGGATGATGATATTGTTGACTAGAATAATATGGGGAAAGGTACAGGTTTAAGAGAGAAAATGCTGAAKAGGAGCATTTCCAAATGGTGGAGCAGCTTCATGAATTCATTCAAGAGGAAAGCAACTGGGCTTGTTYCAGAACCGTTGGGAGAAAGAAGGATAAGATGAGGTTGATAAAAGGACGCTGCTGTCCTTTGGGTCATGGCAAAGAGTTTGGGTTTCAACTGCAATGGAAAATCAGTTAAGTGACATGATCAGATAGACATTTTGAAAAGACTGTTATTGGTGTTGTATAGAAAATGAGACAGGAGCAAATGCAGGCTATTTCAGTAGAAAATAGTAGAAATAGACTGGGGTATAGGGCAGAAGAAACACAGAGACTTAGGAAGTTATTTTGTAGTTAGAGTTGACCAGTTCTTAATGATGGATTGGTTTAAGAGTTGAAGGAAATGGAAGACTTTCCTGCTTGCACTGTTTGAAAAGATATTAGTTACATGAGGAAAGCTGGAGGAATAAGTTTGAGAGGAAGAACACTTTGCAAATTCAAGGTCGAAATGCCCAGTTAGATTTCTGAGAGAATATGTTAAGTAGTTGGTGTTTGGAGCTTGTGCTGAGATGAGTAAGGACTACAGATGTAAAAATTGATGTCCTTATCAGAGATTTGGTAGTAAACTATCAGAATGGGTAATAGAGACGTATGTCTCAGAATTTTAGATACCTAGAGAATGAGGTGTCCTCTATAGTTCCTGGAGTTCAGTCATATCTTGACTTGATTTTGTTAGTTGATTATAATGTTTAAATAATTTTTCCCCTGAGGTTCCTCCCACTCCTCAAGTTTTGGCAGATCTTGGGCATCCAGGTTGAAATTATAATAAAACTTAAATTCTTTTGTTCTTTTCTTTGGGAATAGTTACTGAAATTGAGTTTTATTCTTTCTCTTCTCCAGGTTGACTTTTCTGCTTACATGTACATTTTGCTGGGACCTGTGACTCATTTTTAAAAATAATTTAACTATTTTGACTGTGTGGTATCTATGCATGTTACAAAATTTAAAAAATATAGATGGGTCTTCCTACCTTAATCCTCAGCTGACCAGTTACTTTTCCTGCAAATAATCATGGTCCATGTTTTTGTGAACCATTCCCTATCAGTTCATTTAGGGTTGTGTCATATTCTTAAATAGTCGCACAGTATTCTACTGTATGGGCATATTGTAATTCATTTACGAGTTCCCATTGTAAATTTAGGTTTTTGATGAATTTTACTRTGCTAGAAACAGTTCTTCAAAAAGAAAAATTATTTTAAATAGTATATTTACCAGGGGTATGTCAATATTAGGATGAATTTCCAGGAGTGGAACTATTGGGTCAAACAATTTAGTCATTGTAAATTTTGATAGATATTGCCAAATTGTTCCTCCTCTAAAGGTTAAACCATTGTATCTTGTCACTAGCGGTGATTAAAAATGCTTTTTCTCTGTACTCAGGCCAACATAGTGAGTTACCAACTCCTTGATCTTTGCTATTACTTTGAGAAATGAAAAGAGCATCATTGCATTATTGGAAATGCTCTTCCAGTTCATATATATAATTCATATGGTTTCCTTTAAAAACGAAACAAATGGTTTCTAAGTGCCTGGAAAGCAATATTTAATACTGTATTTGAAGCATAGATGTCTAATTTTCAGTGTTTTAAATCACTATATATCTTTAACTTGTAGGTTTTATCTGAGAGAACCAACATTGAACTTTGGGTTTGTGCCAACATCATTCGTCTCTTTAATGAWGATAACACAATTCCCTTCATTATACGTTATCGAAAAGAACTCATTAATAACCTTGATGCTGATTCCTTGAGAGAAGTTCGACAAACCCTAGAGGAGTTACGGTAAGAAACTGGGAAGGGATGAACCTAATGTAAGGGAATAGAGACCTGGTAAGCCAATGAGGAAAAACTGGGAGGAAGTGAATGACAGCTTATTTTAATAGTTCCAATGTTTACTTTTCTAGAATTGTAATCTGAATGTGGTCCTCTTCTGACATTCAGCTCTGTTTTACATATTTGGGTGTGTATGAGTCCCTCTGCTGGTGTGTGTTTGAATAGCTTGGGCATGAATCAGTGAAAAGGTGGTTTGTAGTTGAGTGTGCCTCAGGGTTTGATGTCATCTTCATGCATAGAAGTGATTTGCCATTTTTGCCAGCAAAAAATGGTAAAATCAGGACTGCCAGCAGGAAACTCAGAAAAGTACATTTTAGTCTAATTCTTCAACAGCTTACATAAAACTGTGCTATTAATACTACAAAGTCCCTAAATGGAGAGTTCTTTGGAAGTACAGATGGTCTCCAACCTACGATACTTTGACTTAACAGTTTTTTGACTTTGTGATGATTAAAACCATAAGCATTCAGTAGAAGCCATACTTTGGATATTTTGAATTCTATTTTTTCCCTAGGTTAGCTGTATCCTACAGCTTTTCTTGTGATCGTTTTTTTTTTTTTTCATTCAGCTATGTGATCACTAGAGCAAACAAGCCACACTCCACACTGCACAGTGTTGCCAATGGTTTTTSGATACAGGTATTAAAAAAATTATATAAGCTATTCAGTACTTTATTATACAATAGGCTTTGTGTTAGATGATTTTGCCCAATTGAAAAAAGTGCTCTGAGCACATTTATGGTAGGCTAGGCTAAGTTATATTTGTTAGATTATTTGTATATTAAATGCATGTTTGATTTATAATATTTTCAATTTATAATGGGCTTATTGAGCCATAATCTCATTGTAAGTCAAGGAACATTTCTATAGTGTTTGGTAGGAAGTATATKTTTCCATTCTTTTTGAAGATAAGGATAGTTTAATTTTAGTGGATTGTAATTTTTCTATGGTTGTAGAATGGAAAGTACCTTTTAAAAAGTGGATAATTTAAGAACTTCAATATGAGTAATAAGTACATAAGAGTGACYATATTACTTACAATGATTTATTAAAACACTGTATATCATTTGTACATTTATTGCATGTTTGTTACAGGAATGTGTAATGTGTATATTCTTCAGGTCTACAGCAAGGATCTGATTAAAATTGGATATATTTCTTCTTTCARGCCATTTTAAAAAGTACTAATGGTTACTTGTAAAATTATCCTGATAAGCTTTCTGTGATGTATGGGGAATTTGTATTTCACCAACTTTACTACTTTTGTTGATGTTCTTTTACTGCCAGGACAATTAAAGTGTTAGTGTCTAGTAAATTATATTTCCTTGAGAGGCAGAATAAATTAGCCAATTCAGAAGTATAAATGAGTCGCCAAACAGATGGTCTTAGATGTAGATCTTCCAGCCTGGATAGTATAATCAAGCATCAGGGGATAAGAAGTAGAGATTACTGGCTGGGATTGTGGCTCAGTGGTAGAGCACTTGCCTCGAATGTGTGGGTTTGATTCTCAGCACCACATAAATAAATAAAATAAAGGTATTGTGTCTATCTACAACTAAATATTAAAAAAAAAGACTTAGGGATCCCAAGTCTTGTCTCTGAGGGGAGCCCTTAATTATCTCCTGGGAATCAYGACATGCAGAGTTGTCTGCCCAGTTTGCTGGAGTTTCCTGTATGTGAAAAGAAGCTGCTAATCTAGAATTTTATGTAAGGAGTTTCTGGACCAAACAAACTGTCTACAGGCCAGTAATTTGCAAATTCTAAGTAAGCTTTCTGCTTGGTTGAAAGCAAGGTAGTAAAGAAAGCCTGAGGATTTGGGGACAGTGTCACACAAGAATGGTTTGCTTAAAGTTAAAGGTATTCTAACAATATTTTATTGTATGGGACAGAAAGAAACTTTATGATAAGATTATTATTAATGTTTTCTTTTTGTATAAAAAGCCCTTCTGCAAAAGAGTTTCATTTATTTGGGTTTCTGTTAATGGAGGATTACATTAATTATTACTAAAGGAATATTCCTTGACATAAGTGGAAACATTGAGGCTTAGAACATYTTTTTTTATTACATTTCTTTTTTTGGTAATGAGACATATGATCTCTACTTTTTTTTAAGCTCTGCATTTTCTTTTATTTTTTATTTTTATTTTTATTATTTATTTTTTATTTGCACACACACACACACACTCTCTCTCTCTCTCTAATATATATATATATATATATAGTGTGTGTGTGTGTGTGTGTGTGTGAGAGAGAGAGAGAGAGAGTGAGAGAGATACCATGTATGTGTGATATGTCCAAATACATATCATACAAACATGGAGTATAACTTCCCATTCTTGTGGTTGTACATGATGTGGAATTACACTTGTCATGTATTCATACATGAATATACAAACGTTATGTCTGGTTTGTTCTACTGTTTTTCCCATCCCCATACATGCACCCCCCCCACCCCCAATCCAGTGACATGCTCCCTCCATTGTGAGTCAGCATCTGCATATCAGAGAGAAATTTGGCTTTTTTTTTTTTTTTTTGGAATTGGCTTATTTCACTTAGCATGACAGTCTCCATTTCCATGTATTTACTGGGAAATGCCATAATTTCATTCTTCTTTGTGGCTGAGTAATATTCCATTGTGTGTATGTACCACATTTTCTTTATCCATTCATCTTTGTAGGTACCTAGATTGGTTCCATAGCTAAAAGCTATTGTGAATTGAGCTGCTATGAATGTTGATRTGGCTGTGTCACTGTAGTACACTGATCTTGAGTCCTTTGGGTATATGCTAAGGAGTGGGATAACTGGGTCAAGTGGTGGTTCCATCCCAAGTTTTCTGAGGAATCTCCATACTTAAGTCAGCATGTTCTATAACTAGAATATTAATTTTCAGTCCATTAAATGTTACCTGTATATGAAAAGTGAAACCAATAATTCATCCCATTTAAAAATAAAATGGAAAACATAAGGGCACAGTTTATGTGGTAAAGGAAAATATTGTTTCATGAAACATTGTTTCAATTATGTGTGTGTATGTGTGTGTGTGTGTGTGTTTGTGCATATAAAATTAGTTGTGAGTTAAAATATATTAGTATGGATGGCTGTTAGAAAGGGAATTAAGTAATATACCACTGGATAGTAAGGAAAGTTTCCTGAAATTTTTTTTCCTCTTCCTTATATGCAGCCCATTAGAATATTAGCCTTTTGTYAAAATGACCCTGATAGCAAATGGCTTGGGTTACCAGGATTATAAAAGATGTAAAAGTTGTAAATTAAAATTTCATAGTTCACATTTTTTCCTTTAATTGACAATCTTCTTTAGTATTTTTCTTAATATAAATAGATTTAATTTTTTTTCTATCAATTCTTGTAATCATTATTGTTAACTTTTACCCATCATTCTAGTAATACCCTTATTAAACAGAACCTATAAATAGGAATAGGGAATGAAATAGGGTGAGATCCATTATATATAGGAAGAGAATTGTATATTCACAGAGAAAAGCCATTGTAAAGTGGGGAAAACTACTATACCCTTCCCTTCCCCTTATTTGTAAATTGATTCCTGTATGTTGATTCCTGGAATCAGCATTTTTACATGAAATCCTGTTTCTTTTTAGTGGAGAATGGTATTTAGAAACCAGTTGTGGGTGCTAGGTGTGCCCATCTTGAGTAATGATACTCCCATAGCAGTGAGCACACCTAATACTCATAATTTGGTTTCTAAGTGCCATTCTTCTGATTCCAGGGCTGGGACAGAGAATGTAAAGGATGAGCCTGGAATATCTTGTAGCAGAGAATAAGAATAACTTGGGGTTCAAACAATGGTGGAGACATGTCAGAAGGATATAGCAGCAAGCTTGAAGGGGTTATGTCTGGTCACATTGGGGACAATATGACCATTAAAATAAATGATAGCAATGGATTATTACAACTAAATAAAAAAGAAACCACAAATCTAGAGTAATATAAATGAATCTGTGCGTAAATTGAAACCTTAATCTGGAATGTGATAATTACATAGTCTCAAAGCACCTCTACACAAAACATTAATTACAGAGGGAATAAAGAGTACCTGTATTGTGGAGAAACCTATAGACATCAGATAATATAAGGATCAAAGTTAATTAGTAATGGAACAAATCAAATTACTTGCCACCTAATGGGTTGTGGTAAAAGACCAGAGTCACTTCTAAGCTGTCCCTGCAAGGAGACACCAGTGGAATTTAACTGTATGGAAACATCAGAAAAACCTAAACTTTGGGACTTCACACAGAATAACTTGCCTACAGCATTTAAAAGTATTAAGGCCTTGATTTTGAAGGAAACGAGATATGTGGAACTTGTAATTCTGAAGTGAATATACTACAAAAGACTATTATTACGGTACTAGGGATTAAACCCATGAGTACTCTACCAGTGAGTGATATCACTAGCCCTTGTTATGTTTTTTCATTTTGAGATAGGGTCTTGCTAAGTTGTTGAGGCTGGCCTTGAACTTGCAATCCTCCTGCATCAGTCTCCTGAGTAGATGGRATTTCAGGTGTATATCACTGCACCCTATCAAAGACATTGTTCAAACAGTTGATGAAACTTGGATGAGGCCTCAGGTCTGAGTATTAGATGATGATAATGCATCATTATTAATTATTTGGTGTTAAAGATCATTTTGTGATTTTGTAGATTTTTTAATAGGAAATAACACACTAAAATGTGTGGGGGGGCAGTATTATTCTCAAATGAATCAGAGGAAAAAGGATTCCGTTTCCTTTATCTGCAACTTTTTGAGATGGGCTCAAAAAGAAAGTCTTAAAGTATAGGTCTTGTATATTACAAAAGTTTTTATTTTCAGGGCTGTTGCAAAGAAGGTTCATAGTACAATCCAGAAAATTAAGAAGGAAGGGAAGATGTCTGAATGCTTACTAAAAGCCTTGCTGAACTGTAAAACTTTGGAAGAACTAGAACACGTGGTAAGGAACTCTTTTTATCTTTTAATGTAATGCCTGAATATATTATGATTTGGGTCTTTTTATAATTGAAGACCAAGACATAAAAAGCTAAAATTATTAGCCACCATTACTTAATTCCTCAAAATACTTATCCTTTGTTCAATAAATACTTATTGAATACTTTTTTTGTGTTAAGCACTGGGTTTACAAATATGGGTAATATGCGGTCCTTACTCCCAAGGAATTCCCCATCGAGTGAAAGAAGAGTAGGTTAATAATGTGAAGCTTAAGGGAGAGGGCTAAAATGGAGACCTAGATATGAGTATCTTTACGTACATTTGGCCCTTCGGTTATTCATTTGTGTGTTCCACATCCATGTGTTCAAATAATGTTGGTAAAAAATATTTGAAAAATGTTGTATTTGTATTGAACATGTATGGACTTTTTTGTTAGTATTCCCAAAGCTATACAATATAACAACTATTTACATATATCTACATTGTTTTAGATGGTCTCAGTAATSTAGAGATGATTTAAARTGTACAGGATGATATGCATAGATTATATGCAAATGCCCCATACCATTTTACATAAGAGACCTGAGCATGATCAGGTTTTGGTATCCAGAAGGAAGGGAGGGTTGTGTTAGAAACTATGAGAGTGGAAGAACTTATTTAAGTGGGTAGGCAGGTCAGAATGAGCCACTGGGCAACATCAGCTTAAAGTGAGGAGGGGAGAACCTAGAGAGACATGGAAAAAATGGTTGGAGAATTATGGGGAGAATCCAGAGGTGATGGTGCATGGACGGTAGGTAGGGAAGAGAGTTTTAGAATGAGGGAAACAATCACTAAGTAAGTGGAGGAGGTTTGGTGAGATAAAACTGAAAGCTGTATATACTTAGGGGTTCTTCATAGATTTTTGTGATACCACTTTCAGTAAGGTGTTTCTTTTCTAGAAGCCAGATGGTGGTGGGTTGAGGAATGAATGTGATTAAGTAGAAGTACTCTAAGCAGACAAGTTTTAGAGTAGCTTGCTTGGTTGAGAAGAGGACCTTGTAGTCAGGTGGTTTTTAAGATAAGTAAACAAATAACTAATTAAGCATACTTAAAAGTATAAAGATAAGGCATATACCATCTTCATAAGTATTAGTTAATTAGTACAAATTTATGTCTGAAGGAAGGGGAAAGGTTTAAGAAAAGGATAKCCTCAGAATTCTTATTGTGTCCTCTGTTTTGGATCTTAGTTTTTTTAACTTTTGCTTTTTAAAACTGAATCCTAAGTGATTTATGCCTTTTTTTTTTTTTTTTCCTAGTCTGCTCCCTATAAAACTGGGAGCAAAGGCACCAAAGCCCAAAGAGCAAAGCAGCTGGGATTAGAAAGAGCAGCCTGGACCYTGCTGGAGAAGCCAGGGGAGCTTAATCTGCTGTCTTACATTAGACCTGATGTTAAAGGTACCAGCTTTACTTAAAKAGTTCAGCCCTGTTTCCWTCCTTCATTTCTTTCTTTCTTTTCTTACTTCAAACTTTATGCTAACAAGTGCTGTCATTAAGTAATGACCATACAAAGGAATATTATAGCATGTAAATATTAAGTGATTCTAATGAAACAGATCCTGGTAGACCTGTTGCTTAGTCATTCACCTTTCCTCTTTTGATAAAGTACCTGTTCTAGTCTTTTGCCCATTTTTCTTTTATGTTGTTTCTCTTTTTCTTATGAATATGTACATATTTTTTAGGCATTCTTTGTTACATAATGTGTGTTGTAATCTTTTCAAAGAAAGATGACTTTCTTTATGTCATCTCTTGGTAAATATAAGGTATTAGTTTTATTATTACTTTTTAAAAAATATTTATTTTTTAGTTGTAGTTGGATACAATACCTTCATTTCACTTATCTATTTTTTAATGTGGTGCTGAGGATTGAATCGCATGTGAGAGATGAGTGCTCTACCGCTGAGCCACATCCCCAACCCCTATTATTATTACTTTTTAATAAGTGCTTTCTCCCTCTTTTTAAAGAAATCTCTTCATACCCTGAATTTTTATATCCTTACGTTGTTTTTTAAAGCTTTTATTCTGTTTCTAAAAATTTGTTTAATTATACAACCCAGACCTCCTCTTTATAAAGACTTTCAACACTTCTGACATGCATGAAGTAYAAATTAAAGCCACACCCCTATACTTTCTAAGAGGTAAAGTATCTTTTTCTGAAATTTACATCCCAGGAGATCTTCCTGTCCATTGTATGTGAGAGAGAATGAGAAGGAGGGAGTAAAGGAGAGAGAGATTTTGAAGGAAAATTCAAAGAAACTAGTTGATTCATGTCAAGGTTCTCTGGTTTTATTGTCAGAATGAACCCAAGAGTGAGAACTTTCTGAATAAGAATTACTTTTTATCAGGATTGCTTTTTCGATTGAGTGAGATTGATATTCTGGTGATTCCTATTCTTTTCAAAAAATGTTTATGTTTTAAAATTTTTTTTGTGTGTATGAGGTATACAATGTGATCTTTTTTTTGTTTGCTTTATGGTACTAGAGATTGATCCCAGAGGCACTCTTCTACTGAGCTCTATCCCAGTCCTTTTTAAAAATTTTGGGACAGGGTCTTAATTATTTGAAGGCTGACTTTGAACTTGTGATTCTCCTTCTACAACCTCCCAAGTAGCTGGGATTTCAGGTGTTTGCTACTGTGCTTGTCTCCAAGATGTTTTGATATTTATACACAAACATTTGTGAGTGTGAGTGTGTGTGTGTGTGTGTGTGTGTACATAAATGACTACTATAGTAAAACAGTACTGTACTTGATATTCAAATTAACATATTCATTATTTTACAGTTGCCTTTTTTATTCTTTTGTAGTAAGGGCACCTAAAGTTTATTCTCTTAGTAAATTTCCAGTACATAATATTGTTGACTAATTTCACTGGATCTCAAGGTTTAGTCAGCCTACCTTACTTGAAATAACTGCAACTTTGAGCTGTATGTCTCTATCTCCATTGTAGTTTCTTCAGCCTTCTGTTGATTCTTTAAGATGGGAGACATAAATGTCTGTAGGGGGCAGCCTCTGATAACAAAATTCACACTTTGTACTTAACTGTAGAGAATAATAGCATACCATAACCCATTTTTAGATTTAAATAATCCAGAAATTGTAGATTTGTGTGTGTGTCTGTAAAATACAAATATTGTTCATACAAACTCATCTTAATATCTTTGGGAAGAGACAACAATGAAAAGGAAAAGCAAAATAGTAATATTTGAATTTAGAGATGGTTTGAAATAAGTAACATTCACATGTTTTAATTTTTWA